ACATAAAACACCAAATACAGTTGAAAACAGTTAAAAATATTTTTTGCAATAAAAATTACGGTTTCTACGCAAAAACAAGCAATTTGGCCAGCAGGCAGGAAGAAGGTTTTTGATGCAGAAAATTGAAAGTTTATTTTTGGTCCCGTTCGTCAAAAAGACACTGAAGCTGATACACAAATGGACTTAAAATTTCTATTCTAGATTAGCAGCAAATTTCTAGTCCTAAAAATTAGGCTTATTAAATTTCGCCATTTAAAATTTTAAATTATTGATAATTCTACAACTACTACATGTAGATTAACTAAAGGCATAAAAACCTAACCCGAAACATATGTACAACATAATTCAATCAGTTTAAAGTAAAAAATGCCCGATTTACCAACATATAAGAATACAAAACTAAGTTAAGCAGTCTAACAGAGTAGGAACATATGTATGTTTATATATATATATATATATGTGTGTGTGTGTGTGTAATAGTAACAAGGAAACGCCGGAACACTGTTGATGCGTACTTAGATCCATATTGAAGAGGAAAAATTCTAATTGCGTCGTAGGTTAATATGGTTGGATGGTTTGGTTTATTAGATTACGGCAAAGCACTCGAAGGTTATCTGCCTTAAGGGAGGGATGCCTTCATGGAGGACGTTTTAAGGGAAACTGGCTCGTATACACGTTACACATGGGAAAACCACGAAAACACCCATGCAGCCAGCCCGTTCGCGGGATTCGAACATCGGCCCGAACTATCAGTGCTCAGCGACGCTAATATGGTTGACTTCGTAATAAAGAACTTGGCAGTCCAGGCGGTTTTAATTCCATTTTTATTGGCAGTTGAAATTTGTGGCCACAGTTTGCTGGCCACTCTATCCGTGCCTATTCAAGAACAGTCACATTTTTTATATTATTGTAATAAAAAGCAACGTAGCGAAATTACAAAAGAGAAAGAAGAAAGAAGCTGAAGTGCGTAGTTAAGCAAGATGGAATCACACAAAGAGAAAAGTTTTGGTTTCAGTTAAAGAGCTTCAGTTTACAATTATTACGTCATCAGAGCTGCGCAAGCCATAGAATGATCCAGAAATGACACAATCCCGAGAAGGTATTACGATTTTTAGAACAAAGAGGGAGAATTAAAGTTTCACTTCGTTAGTTTAACATCTAATTTTGATTCATGTATTTTTTATCTTACGTATATGTTTGGTGAGGCCGATTACAATGAGAAGGCTGAAATGCACATTTACATGTCATAGCAGTCCCATATACAAAATTTCAACTTTCTGTGGATACTCGTTTTTGAGTTATGCGAGATACATACCTACAAACGTGACTAAAAAAATCTCTTTCGATTGAATGGATTCAAGAGCGGTCAATATGAATGGTTTCGTTAAAATATGATACCCGAAATTCTTACTTTCGTACAAAAAGGTGAAAATAGAACATTTTTAACCAAAGTTTAAATGTCATATTTTATACTCATTTACTGGCTTTTAGAATGAATAAAGCTAAATTAATACTTCTCTGTATATCAAAGAGATTTATACCATATGAAACTTCAGAAAATTAAAATCCAAATAAAAGTAAATTCTAACTAAAGTTATTAAAATTTTGTTTCAAATTAAAAGTTCTAAATATAACTTACTTATAAATGTGTGTTACAAAAACAGCCAGAATGTCAAATTGAAAATTTAGCTGGCATAGAAATATCAAAATTTTTGCAATAAAATTACATTGAGCTTTACAATTATAATGTATTGGCCTCTTCGTTAGCTGTCAAAATCGTGCACTGTTAAAATTAATTTCTGCATTAAAATAATAAATAAGTTTTTCATTTTTAGAAAGTCATATGTTTCGGCTGACGGTATGTAAAATGTTGTTTTCTTTCGGATTGTAACTGAGATACCAAATTTGAGTTTTTGAAAGATTTCAAAAATTGTTATGAACTGTTAAAGATAGGAAAGTGCTATTGTCGGTAGAAGGTGAAGATACTTTAGTTGTATTCTGCTTGTAGTATCCATCTTTCATTTAGAATGCAATACATTGAATACTGTAAAACTTCCTAAAATTCTTCTGCTTTAATTAATACAGTGGTCAGACTTTAATATGGAAACACCTGGTAAAATGCATGTTTGAACTTAAGTGTTTATTCTCGAAAAAGCTGCTGGTTACGTGTATGTGTTTGCTCGTTAACTGTTCCTGTACAACATCCTTAATGCGTAGCAAGTGCCATTCCAATGTAATGTCAAGTTTATGAATCTTTAAATATGATGCTTTTGAACAAAATACCTTAATTTGAATAACTGCGAAATACTGAGCATTCATATGGTGGCGCTGCCATTTATAGTCAAAAGAAAGTCTTAAAAACACAAGAGGACAGCTTTTGGTGTAGAAAAAGTATTATTTTTAGTAGGTTAAAAATTGCCAAACAACCGGTATATTTTATGTACCGACGCAACCATTTCAAGATTTTAACATGAATTTAAGGATTTCATTTCATGTTAAACAGCAACGTTACCAGTGCACAAGTCATTTAATGGTTACGAAATAAACCAATCGCTATTTTTGTCTTGTCTGTTCGAAGATTTGGTTTAAAATCCATAATTTTTAAGTAGTAGGAGGCTTTTACACAACATAATTAATATTCGACCATAACTAGTAAAAGTACTTTTCTAACGGCACTTCATTTGTCAGTTTGCGGAAAGTAAATACAGAGGAAGGGGTTTTCATATAAAACTGATACATGTTAATTTTAATGTAAAGTAAAAGAATTTTCACAGTAATATTTTTTAATACGAAAGAGAAAAAGGATTATAGGGTTTACTTTCTTGTTATTATCTTTTAGCTTTCGTTTATAAGCTTCTTAAATTAGCGGTTAGCGTTATTTTAAGAAGGGCTAGCCCGTCGCGCAGCAGCAGCACAGGTCCTGGGTTACCTCCTCGGGTTGGACAAGGTTGACTCAGCCTTTCATACCTTGACAGGGTTGCTAAAATTGTAAGGATCTTAAGTTTTACTAACGTTTATTTTATTTTAAAACAGTACTCTCCTCTTTTACTTTCCACTTCCGGCCAGAATAAACGCGCGAATATGTTTATGCAAATTGTACTTGCTAACGTTTAAGTATTTAAGTTGTGGCTTTTTGCCAGAGTTAGATGGAGAGAAAATGAGCCGCCTTGCCACTGCATTCCACGCAAGCTTTCAAGCAGTTGCCGTCCGCCTTTAAGGCCAGAGGTCTAGTCCTTTTGATATTTAAAACTTATTGTAGTTTTTCGCAGTTTGCGCTCTACATACGTAATACACTAAAAGGCCAATCTCAGCGTTAGTCAGGTTTATCAAGTATAGCTCTTATTTAAATTTAGTTAGTTAGAAGTTTTAATATTTTACGTTTAGACCACAAGTGGTTAATGTTTGTATCCCGAAGTGCGGGAGCGCCTGTAATATCGTGGAGAATAAAAAGGGTAATCGAACCCTTCTCATCTTGTCGTTTCTTATACACTCCATAAGACATAGTTTGTAGTCAAATTCACTGTCTCGTCAGAACACTTCATGTTCGCAAAGCAGATAAAGAGAAATACAAGTCCTGATAAAATGAGTAGCAAATTTGCTTGGGGACTGAACACCGGCGGTCCTGCGACAAGCTGACCACTTGTCCAGGCAATATGCAGAAGCACCCCGGGACCCATGGTCTAGAAAGCAGATATCAGGGTACTGCCGGGCATGGCTTTCTGAGGGCTGTTTGTGCCGCCGAGTTTAGTTTAGTTTTTTAATATTAATATTAAAATATATAATAATATATATATAATAAATAATTTTGATAAGCGAAGCGTAATGGATAAGAATAATTATGAAAAACAGAAACAATTCAAATTTTTTGTTATGATCACTGTAACTGAAAAGTTCCGGTTAGCAATGTATTCATTATGCTTTTACTCATTTAAACCAAAGTTCCATGTCTTAATGCTCAAATCTCGCAGAAATAACGGACAGCGAACTTGCTAATTTAGACCTATTTTTCACGCCTATCACAGATTTCAGTTTAAAACATTTGAAACCAAACTTAATGATCTGCTACTGAAAAGATACTTCTTTTGTTGATGTGTTTCTGCTAGTTTTGAGGAAATGTTTTGTTGTCTTGCAAACGGTATTGGTCTCTAAATTTGTAGTTGGATCTATTGAAATTTGGTAGCATTATTAATGAAATACATATTCCCTAATTTTGCGACTAAAGTTACAGAATATTTTTATTTCAGCAAAGCGTAATTCGTAACACTACGAGGAAAAAACACATAGATTTGGTTTATACAGTCCTTTCACCTATTTAGAATACTAAGAATTTTCATAAAATAGTGAAGCTTATTCTAAAACCATTTAACTGAAGCTACATGCCTAAGATTACTGTTTAAAGAATTAGCTTCTATTAAACCATTCTGAACATTTTATATAAATATCTTACATTTACGACTAGTATATTTAACCATTCGTTCCTTTGTATCGAATGTTTTTAGAGTTTTTCCTATGCGTAATGTGATTATGATTCAGTCTTTTTTAGAAAGACCATAGGGAGATAATCTGTCTTTCTATGGTCTCATGAAATGGCAGCTGCTGTCAATAATTGATGGTTTTGTATGCTTAATTATGGCAGAGCAAGCGAGGGTTATCTTCTGAAAGCGATGGATACCTTCGTGGAAGACTTTTTAAGGAAGACTGCGTCATATCCGCGTTACATTAGGGAAAAATAGGATTAGTATATTACAATTTTTGCTGCTATATGCCATCGTTAATTCTCTGTCTGCTCAAAAGCAATTTCTTTCATACTCCCTTTATGTCTTCGTTGCTCTAACTTCTGCATTCTTTTACGGACTTTTAAAAAAGGAACTAAAACGCTCACGATCTCAGCTCATTCGCCGAGATTTGAAGCGGGGTACAACAGCACTGTGGAATTTTACCACTCTGCTGTTGGTAAGCTATAATAACTGTAAAAAATTAACAAAAAGAGAAGAACCTACCTTTCATGACGACTCCCATTAGTTTCAGTATATTCTCATGACAAAATGAAGACATTATTTCTACTTCTCTTTCAAAATCATTTTGGGCTTCTGGACTGACGTTATCTTTGAGTGTTTTCACAGCCACTGGTAAAGTTACGCCTGAAGTTGCGGTGTACAAACCTAATGAAATTGAAAGTGATACTTTTTAATACAATGAAATAAAATCAATACAAAACATCGGCTCAAAATTACTTAAAATTATGTAAGTATGTATTGTACTTAAAATTATGTAAAAACTATTATCAATATAAATGTTTTGAGAAATATCAGAAATTTGTAATTGGGCTGTAAAAGAAAATTCCAAACATTGTCCATAATACGCATACTAGTAATTTACAAGTTTTCTAATGCGTAATATATGTTCAAGAAGAATTTTTAAAAATAATTAGAATCCAAATCTGTAACATCGAAACTCATAAATTAGAATACAAAAACTGAACAGGCATAAGTAATTGTCGTTCTCACGAGTTAACTGTTGAAGAGCAAGAGTAAATAAAAAGATTATTCAAGTTATACATGGGGAAAACCTCGAAAAATACATACCCATATAGCTACTAATATAGAACTAATTCTTCGAAAGTCAAAGAAAGTGGCTATGACAGCTTTTTATATAAAACCATGATCAACTCTTTCCGAAAATAAAAATTAATGTATGTAATGTTTATAAAAATAAATTGCTATTTTATAAAATAAATCATAGCATTTACCAAACAGTTTTTATCTTAATTTATTTATTATACTAATAAAACATATTCTTATAAAATTTTACAATTATTTAAAATGCTATGAAAATATTTATAATTTATAAATATGCTACTGCTGATATTTATATAAATGATTTGTATCCTGTTATTTGTAAATGACTCAATTTTTATAAAATGCAAAGAAAAAATAAAGAAGCACGAAAAGTATGTATTCTATTTCAGAATCGCTTAGTTTATGTTCCTATTTGGAGGAACGGAAATAAGTCTCAAAACTGGCAGTTTGCTTAAAAGTGTAGTTGACTAATGCTATGGAACTGCAAAATTGCCTAAGGTGTGCTATGAAAAAGAGAAAAATAGATTGTGATATTTCTGACTAAGAACATGATAATAAATATCACTGTCGTGACTTAAAAATTGTAATTAATTTAAATACCGTATTTTCCGGCGTATAAGACGCACTTTTTTTCTTTGAAAATATGTCTAAAAACCGGGGTGCGTCTTATACGTCGATATTCAGTTTTTGATTACATTTATTTCTGGAAATTTCCTCTATTCAGAGTTATGGAATTTGTTTCTTGTTTTCTTGAGGGAATGTGGGAATATTACAGTCACATAGCGTTCAGTGAATGAGCATGCGCTGCCATCGGCGATCACAGCTGGGTTCGTTTAAACTTTCCAATTTTCGTGAACGACTTTTAAAAGTGTGTGAAATTTCTACTGTTCAACTTTATGAAATTTGTTAGCAAGTTATGGCTCAAAACCACTTCGGCATTGCTATAACATAGCATACAAGCTACGTGTGATTGCGTATGCTAAAGAACATGGAAACAGGGCTGCAGAGAGGCATTTCGGGCCATCCTCAACTGAGAAAATGATAAGAACTTGGCGGAATCAGGAAGAGGATCTAAGCAAAGCTACTGACAGTAAATGTAACCTACGAAGGGGAACTGCAAAATGGCCTAAACTTGAAGCAGAGCTGAATACATAGATTTTTAGACCACAGAAAAGCGGGACTTTCAGTCTCTACAAAAATGATTTTTCATCAAACGAAAGCGTTAAAAGTGTTTTTTCCCAGATAGATTGGGTACTTGTAAAAAGTATTACTTTATGTTTAAAATACTATAAATTCATTATAATGATCAGTAAAAACGTTTTATCCTTAAAAAATGTGTATAAAAAAGGGGTTGCGTCTTATACACCGGCTAATATGTTAATAAGTACACTGATGAGTCTAAGTGTGATGAATAAGTATAAGTTTTGTAGGCTCTTAATTGCCAGAATGAATTTTCAGTTTTACGCTTTATGCAAAGAGGGCCGAAACTACTATTTAAGCTGAGGTCTGAGCTACTTCATTTAGAGAAAGACAAAGAGAGAGAGAGAGAGCATGTTATGCCTTTCGTCCACGTTGCTATTATGAGTTAAAGCTAGTTCACGGCCGTATTTATTACATGCCAGTTTGTCTAAGCCGGTGATTTTTTAGGTAAGAGCCAACTACGCGGTAAACAACTCTGTGTAGCTTAGGCTGTTTATTCTTCTTAGCATTAGTTTAATTTTACATTTTTTTAAATTTTAAGCGAAAAGTGTTGGCTCCTTTTACGCCCAACAAGGGCCATCTGTGAATCTATTTGTGTTCACATAAAATGGTATTTTAACCCTTCTTCGGAGTTGTTATTTAGGCAACAAGGACTTGGCGAATAGTTGTTACGTAGTTCTGTTAGGTTCTCTAATTTAGATACGTAGAACACTACAGTTTAAATCAGAGACAGTGTTCTTTAAATGAAAATTATTATGTTAAAATTTATCCTTTTCTTTAAAATCTGCCGTTTTCAACTCTCCATTTCCTTAGAAAATTAATCGCGAAATCTTTATGAAATATTAATTAACAAATTCGTGTTTACTTACATCTTAAAAGAGTAATTCATGTTAGCAGTAATTTCTACATATATTCTTGAAATTTCAGATAATAAAACAATCTAATCTGCTCGGGATCAGTTTACATATCATAAATAGCTTATTTTTAGTACAGTTTCCTATAACTCGTTTGTAAGAGAAATTAATTGTAAGAGCATTCATCGAAAATTAAGTGCATTTAGCTAGAATAGGTAAAATGAGAGTATTTAAATTTGTAAAATTTGGATTTCTTTTCCATCGTATACAGCTTCCACATATTAACGCTGCGTTAATTAAAGTATAACCAAAGCTTCACTGTTTCTCAATTAATGTTAAGTGGCTCTTTCGAGTCTGTTTAGAAAGAGCTGATTTACCATCATTCATTTTTTTTTTTCATATTAGTTCCTAATTAGCTCTTACAATCTTTAAGGCAAGTCTTTATCATCTCTGACTACAAAATCGCAAAAAGACATTTTGAGATCACAATTTATATAACCGTTTGTTGCTCTCTGCATTAGTTAATTAAAATCGTAAATTTAGGATATTCTATTTAACTTATACTAAAAGAAAATCAGTATGATAAGTAGCATTTATAAACTTCCAGCATTTTTATGTTTGTAATATTATAAAAAGCCAAGACAGCTTAAAATACCTGAAGTCCTTTGAAACAAAAGATTTAGATAGGACTCCATCTCAGTTGGCCAATGATGTTTCATTTACTGTGGGATAGACTGAATAACAGCATCAGCATTAACCTAGTAGCCCCTAGATCCCCAGATTCTACTTCACCTTAAATGTTGTTGTTCTTAATAACTATATGTAGGTTTCACGCGTAATAATCTGGTCTTGCTGGACAGATCTTATGGCTCTTGCTGAACAGATTTTATGTTTTAATCAATAAGGTGAAATCACAAATGAAGACGCTGGGGAATAAATAAATTACGTTCATTTTTTCTAAAAATTGAAGTAATACCATCTAGCAGGCAGCATGAATATCCTATACATTAAGAACCACTATAGGAGAAGAAAAAATCTGAAAGCTTTCAGAACGCACAAAGGCGTGTTTTTTCATTTACATACGTAAACAGGTTTCGAAAGTATTTGGGCCAAAGCTCCTTTGGACTAAAAATATTTAGAAACGGTATATCTTGAGAATTTCCAATAGACAGTCTTGCGCGCTGGAGATAAAAATGTTTTATTCCGTACTTTGTTGCCACTTCTCGCTTTGAAATCGTTGAATTTTTTAATCCAAAATTGGTTAAAGTTTTACAAAATATGAAGTAGATAATAGAATAAATTCAAATTCAGATTTCCATGTGCCATTCGGAGGATTTCCAGGTTCATATTCGGGCAGAACACTACGTTATTCAGAATTTGATGGCTCTAGGTACCGTTATTTTTTCACAATGCGAGAAACATATATACATTCATGCAGATTCTTCATTATTTAATTTCTTTAAATATGATACAGGGCGATAATATTCAGTGGCAAGAATTTGAAAAGTTGCAGAGACATTAGGCAATTTTTAGAACCAGAAGAGATGAAAAATTAGCAATCGCCTTCGCCGGGAATCGAACCACGGAACTCTGAAATACCGGCCCAGCTTGCAGAACCACTATACTATGAAGGCACTCTGGGAAGGCGGGAGAAATACCTTACAAAGTGATGCATTCGTTTATAGTGATTCGACGCAAAATGCCGTTTCAAGACTAAGCCCTTCTTGACTAACCCCCTTTGGGCTCATATCTGTAACAGTAAACGAAGAAAGATTTCACGTACTGAGAAAAACAATTTTTTTCCATGCGCCAAAAGGTAAGAAGCATACATTTATAGCTTCCTTTACCAAGATTATTCACATTTGTTTTTCACTCTTGTAACGGAAACCCGTTGGTTTCATTCATCAGTTCTCCAGTAGTATTTTGCGAATATGGAAAATGAAGATTCTAGTGCAGGCTAAGATTAAGAGGCCGAGTTTTCTGCTAAGAAGAGGTAGGAAACAAGAAAAATCCACAATGTTATGGAAGATTTAGAGCCATCACACAGGAGTTAGGATCTGACTAAAATTGCAAACTTCTTCAATATTTTTCATTGATTTGTGATAGTGACAGCAAAGAATTCTCGAAGCTTTTAATGAACTTGAGAATTATAATATTCAAAATTATTATCTCACCGGTCTTACATCACACCGGCAATCTCGATAGAGAAATGATGGATCTTAACACAGCTCGTTTCAGTGACATCAAAACGTTGTTTCCAAGATGAGTATGTAGTACTGTGTATGGTAAGAACTCCTTCTTCGAACCAATAAGCTTGCACTTTATTACAGTAATGAGAGTTAGTTACCTATGGTCTTGGGGATGGCGAAGTGCTGTTCTTAAGGAAGGTTAATGCTTTTTGTTGTGTTTTTGATTATTTTGCTTAGATGTAGATTCTTGTTTTGTTCTGTTCATTTATTTTATTTCGTTATTGTTTTTAGAATGGTAATTTTGTATTTATTAATCTTTTGCTGTCACGTAGTCTATATT